AGAAGGAGAAAATGAAAAGTAATTAGGGTTGGTGTACAGGATATTGCTATTTTGTCAGGCAGAAGATGATCGACAGGATCTCTGGATGGTCGCATAGATATCTTTCTTTCGGTGGTCGGCTAGTGCTGATCAAGAGCACTCTTAGCTCTCTTCCGATTCACTTGCTTATGGTCCTCGACCCCCCTAGGTCTACTCTTGACGAGCTTGACCAGATTATGGCTCGTTATTTCTGGGGTTATGAGGACGGGTCTGGGAGGGGGAGACGTACTCACTGGGTGAGTTGGGACTCTATCTGCCGCCCCCTCCCAGAGGGTGGCCTTGGCATCCGCCGCCTTAGGGACATTGTTACAGCTTTCTCATACAAGCTGTGGTGGCGCTTCAGGGAAGGAAAGTCGCTTTGGGCTCAGTACCTTCGCGGCAAGTACTGCCCTAGACGTGCCAACCACCCTTGTTGGGTCACGGCTGTTGATCATGATAGCAGATAGTGGCGGTGCCTCATTAGGGTCGGGAGGCGAGGCCAGGATCACATCTTTTGGGTTTTGGGCGGGGGCGATGTCAGTGTCTGGGATGAGTGGTGGGTAGGTAATATGCCGTTATCTAGGGATAGGCAGGTGTCGCATTCCCCCTACCTGCTCGTGAGCGACCTCTGGACGGACGGGTCGTGGGATAGGGGGAAGCTTGATAGGGAGTTGGGGGTTGGTGCGGGTTTTAGCGAGCAGTTATTAGATCAGATCCAGCAGATCCCTATCTCGGGGGACGGTTCAGATAGCATGAGGTTGAGACTTACATCATCAGGTGTGCTTTCTACTACCTCGGCTTGGGAGCAGATAAGGCTGAGGGATCGGCCTAATCTCCTCTTCGGGGCTATCTGGAGTGACCTTTTCACGCCTACTATTTCGGTGTTCCTTTGGCGCCTCCTCTTGCGCCGGATACCCGTCGATACTGTGCTACACGCGAGAGGGATCTCCTTCCCCTCTCGATGTGTGTGTTGTTCTAAGACTGGACGCCATGAGACTGAGACCTTTACCCACCTTTTTCTAGAGAGTGAGATTGTGAGGAGAGTGTGGGAGCATTTTGCCACTTGGACTCATATATCCCTACCTACCACATACAGTTTTTTTGAGCTCCTGAGTTTTTTCTCACAGAGCACACACCTTAGACACGTGGGCTTCCTCATTCCTTGTCTGATCCTTTGGTTCACTTGGACAGAAAGGAATAGTGCGAGCATAGGGATATTACTTTTATGTTTTCTCACATTGTTTTGCAGGTAGAGAGATACATTTCACTCTTCATCGCATTGGGCAGGCTCACGGCCCGAGACTGGACAGGCTGCACGCCACCGCATCGCTACATGGTGGCCCCACCACCGCCTGTTCGGCCTCCACGGGCCAGAGCTGTTGTTTGGCTTCGACCTGACCTTCCGTGGGTCAAGCTGAACACTGATGGCTCCTTTGATCGCCACACTGGACTTGCCGGAGGAGGAGGCTTGATTCGGGACCATAGCGGCGCCCTCATCACCGCCTTCCACGCGTCCATTCAGGCCTCCTCGAGCTACGATGCAGAGATTCAGGCACTACAAATTGGCCTTCAGATTGCAGTCCACCTCTCTAGTCATATATGGATCGAGCTGGATGCTGCGGCTGTCGCCACCCTCCTGACTTCGGGCCATCAGGGCTCGTGGCAGATTCAGCACCCGCTTCTGCGCATTAGAGATCTATTTCGGTCAGTCCATCACAGGATCACGCACATTTTTCGTGAGGGGAACAGACCGGCTGATTACTTGGCTCCACCATACCAGGCACACATACATTCCAGACCGACACTGCTCAACTCCGCCTTCGCACTCTTGTACGGATGGACCAGCTTGGATATCCAGCGTTCCGCTTTCACTAGTTTAGGATTTCTGTTTTCAGTATAGACATTTATTTCGGGCATCTGTTAGCCCGAAGATCGGCTTTGTATTGTAGTTTTTGTTTCTTTTTCGTTTTTCGGTTTTTCTTTCTTGTTTTTCTTTTGTTTTTTACTGTGATTGTGAGACTCCATAGACTTTTGTATCTTGTTCGTTGATATTTTGGGTTCCCGATTTTGGGGCCCTGATCTATGCACAGGTTGGGGATCCAGCCCAATCCCCCCCCCTNCCCTCCCCCTTCCGGGGCGTTGTTTTTTTAAAAATAAAAAAAAAATACTATATCCTATAAACAACCCTAAATAAAATAGGCAACATATAATAACAACTTATTAAACAACACTTTTACAAATGACACTTTTATTAAATGAAGTAACAATTCTAAGTCTAATAACTACATATCACTTCAATAACTTCTATCATACTTTTACATCACATCAATTTAAATCATTACGTTTTAAATATTATTTAGTTACAAACTCAAAATCATCAACTCGATAAACTTTGTACAAAATAACTCGTTTTAACCAATCAAACTGATGTAGCGCAGCGTACGAATGGGAAATAATAGAAGAGAGATCTCTCTCGAATACGTAATTTTCTTATTCAAATTCAACTGCCTAGAACAAAAGATTTTATATATTATAAATATTTGTTACATGAATTATTTCACAAAATTAATATATTTAAAGAAAAAAAAAATTCTTTGGATCAGTGGGTGATTGAAATAGGTTACTGCCTAGGTTGATTAAATTACTTTTAGGTGATATTTAAAATTGTCAAAAACAATGACACAACTAGGGTTGATCCTTGGTCACGAATCAGTTTGGCTAGACCAAATCAATTATGAAAACTAAATAGAAACTTTAACATTTAATATACTTTATTATTGTAATGTAATCCAAGCTCCAAAAATAATTTTAAGAAAATGTGTTAAATGATTTATGAATATTTATATATCATTTTATTAATAATCATGTAAACTAAATGATCAGGTTGCATTATATTACAAGTTTTATTAACGTATGGTAAATCAAAGTTTCTCATAACAGGATAATTATCGAACCGATCAGGTTCTTTATTTAATGCATTATTGGTTGGACCAGCATTTAATTAATTAATATTTATTTACTTAAATATGTATTTTTATTCATATTAAAAATAATTTTAAATATTACAAAATTTATTTAAAAATCATACAAACTCTACCAGTTCGAGCGACTGGTGTTGATCGGTTCACAAACAAACATTTTATTCAGCGAACCGGATAGATCGATAAATCAATTTGCGGTCCACTAGGTCGGACTATTCAGTCTGGTCCGATTTTGAAAACAATGTGTAAATCATGATTATTGTTATTAATATATTTAAATTATATTACAATCACATTGCATCGCACGGGCCACATACTAGTATTTTTTAAAAAAAATTATCCAATTACATATATCTGGAAAATAATTGTATAGCTAGACAAAATATAAATTTGTCAAAATGGACTTGTACAGCATCCTAATTAGAAATAGTCAAATGCTATTGAATTTCAATTTATAATTGCGGTAAATGTTGTCAAACTCAATTATCAAATCACATCTCCAAAAAAGCCGCTCGATCAGTAGAAAAAAACACCAAAAGCCCCAAATTAAAAAGAAAAAAAAAAAAGTAAACCCTTGATCAGTCATGTTGTCTCCTCATTGCAGAACCCTCTGTGCGGCCCGGTCCCAGCCGCCATTGACCACGAAGCTCGCCCCTCTTAGACCATCTCAAAATTTTTACTCTACTTTAGAGTAGAGAATGCCAAAATTTAATTTTTGTGTTTAGCTGTTGCACTACATTTTACTCTACATGTATATATTAGTACAAAATAAAATTTAAATATAACTATAAAATTAAAATTTTAAATTAGTTAGCAAAATCAACAATTTTATTTATGCATATTTTATCAAAATAATATTTAAAAATAAAAATCAATTAAAAAACTAAAATTTCAAGAAAAAAAAATTGTAGCAGTGAAGATCCCCCCAGGTGTAGGGCTCGCCGATTAAAAGGTTCCTATGTGGCTGTGCGGGGCTTTTCGAGTTCTGAGTAGGGCTTGCTCGTCGGATACTGGCCTGCCTCCAGCGTTGTTCGGGGTCGAGGTAAGACTCCCCCTCCCCTCTCTCCGTCTCTTCAGCTCTGGTTGGTGGTTTGGGCTTGGTAGGGTGGTTTGACGTGGGGCTTTGGTGTCATGTTGGTTGAGCGGCAGGTTGGTTGTGCGGAGGGATTGGTCAGTTGGTGTGTGAGAGCTGCCGGTGGGAGGGGTGGGGGGTTCATAAGCCGTCCTCCGGTCTCAGCTTCAGGGGCAGTCCATCTGGGAGAAGATTTTTGGTTGTCTGGTGGGGTCTGGCTAGTTGTGGCTACACAAGTTTTCTGGAGCAGTGCTAGAGCCGAAGTCCGACCCGAGTGGATGGTTGTCTATGAGTGTCGGGTTGCGGTGTGTTTCGGATTGTCTCGCCTGTGGAGAAAATGGTGTTATTCTATATATTTTGTGTTATGTGTTGCTTGTTAGTGTTTGCTGTGTTTCGTTGGTGTTTGTTGTAGTGTTGTGTTGTGTTTATTGTTTTAGCTGCGTATTCTCCTCTTGTAGGAGTTGTATTATCCCTTGTTGAGATTTGTTTAGTTTATTTAGTTGTTGGTCTTGTGGGTGACTTACCGTAGTCTCCAGATGCCTTCCTTGTTTGGCTATTTCTAGTTGTTGTCTAATTGTATTTATGTGCTTTTATCTATAAAATTTGTCGTTACGAAAAATAACTCATATTTCCCACATTTTTCAACAAAAAAATAATATTTTAAAATATACAACAATCGTGTTTTATAATTAAATGAGATAGTTAACAAATTTTATGTATTCAATTTTGTTTTTTGTTTCACCTCTTTTGGAAATTTGAATATTTATTCTAGTATATCAAATAAGCCCAATAGATTCTTATTTTTAACCCTTTTTCATCTTCCTTTCCGCTTTTAGAGAAATGCAAGTTTTTTAGATTCCTCTATTGACGTGCAATACCAACAACTAACGAAATAAATTTAATGCATATTCAAGATAAATGAAATGAAAATGGAGATGATATTAATGTTTGCTTGCTTGCACGTTTTCTTATGCTTTTACAGCTTTTTGTATTTTTCTTGGTGATTTTCGATGAGTTTTTGATGGCTTAGCCTCATGGAGGTTGTTTTATAATTTATACTCCCTCCTTTTTTATATATATGTCGTTTTGTACTTATGCACAAGAATTAAGAATTATTTCTTTTGCCAACATTACCCTTATTTAATGAAAATTAACATTAATTAATTATTTTGATTTTAGCTTTATTGTGTTTTTTTAATGAAGAAAAACTCTTCATCTTCCCCATCATTCCTTCAAAAAAATACATGGCTTTTCTTCACATGGCGCTCAAAAAATACAGAGCCTCACCAAATAATTTTCGTTTTGGAGCCAAAATTTCGACAAGGAGGTAAAATAAAAATTCACATTCAACATTTCAAAGTTTGTGAAGCAACACCAACAAATGTCTATAAATATGGATAATTTAGTTAAACCCCATTTCATAAATAAAGATTTCCAACGGCTTCAAAAATTCCGATCGACTTGTACGAACTTCCTTACGACGTAGAAGATGCAGTCCCAAGATCTTCACAGAACATTATAATCGACCTAAATGCCGAAGATAGCCCGGAAATTGGATACCCTATTATCGAGCTCGACTTAAATCAATTTTTTGAAGATGATGACGAAGCTAGGTCCGATTCGTCTGTGGAAGAGGATATTGACCAGCAAGCTAATGGTGGAGAAGGAAATAATGTGCAAGAGATTTTCAATGAGTTCGACGACGTCAATGGTCAAGCAGTGGAAACAAGACAAGGTGAGTTATTTTATAGTTAAAACTTGTTTGCTTGAATAATTTGAATTTGCATAACTATATGTGCTGCCTGTACGTTTTTTTTTTTGGGTGCAAGAAAGAAAAAAACAGAAACAATAACAAGGCTAGGAGCTATAACAAAAAGGCAGATGGGGAAATGAACAAAAATTGGGGATTTAATTTAGGCTGAAAATTGGAAACAAAAATAAAATAAATTTGGACTATGGCAAGTATCCCTATTAATCTCCTTTTTTTTTGTGAAAAATGTTCGCGGGTCAGTGATTGTCCGTATTATATATTTTATGTATAATCTTCTTGTCGTTTGATCTTTGGGTTATTTAAGGGAAAGTGGTTTGCTAAATGAAAATGCTTGTCTCGTTATCTACTTGTTTTGCATCTTCATTTATTTGTTTCTCCCTTTTTTAT